ATTTTTAAAACTTAAAATTCAACCATATACTATTATAATATTAATAGTTAATAGTTATATATATATATATATATATATATATATATATATATATATATATATATATATATATATATATATAAGAACAAAGTCAGTCATACCGTTAGTAGGCCTCATTCACGAAGCCGGTCTACAAGGTTAATATATATATATATATATATATATATATATATATATATATATATATATAAACAAAGTTAGTCTTACCGTTAGTAGGCCTCATTCATGAAGCCGGTCTATAAGGGGAGTATAAGGTTACTACCTATAAAATGACAGTTTAATGGGTGTCCACTCTCACCCACCGCTTCCTTGACTGGTGGAGGGTCGTTAGCCGAAAGGGTAGGACAAGGACTAGAATTCATCTGTCATTAAAAAGTATTAATGATAAATACTAGGTAACTAAACTATTATGAATTCCCAATCTTAGTTACTTAGAAAAATGTGAATTTGGTGCTAACCCATGAAATTACTCTTTGCACTTTGCTTAAGTCGGTTAGTGGGGCACGTGTGGTTAACCGGCACACTAACTTGATTTAACAAGGTAGGAAAAGGGTAACTTAATGTTTATCATAGTATCGGTAGAGTGCGTGTGGTTAACTAGCACATCGATTGATTGATAAATATTAAGGGTACCAAGTATATTTGCATGATTATTCACACCTTGTTTTGTGATCCTCGGCATCCCAGTCATAAAACTTAAGAGGGCACAATCGTGATTGAAACATGCCATTGAAAAGTTTAATGAATCTTAAAAGATCTAGGAGTTTCAAATCCAATTAAAACCTAATAAATTATTTTGTTTTTCATGGTGGAAATTGGTGAATCGTCATTCACCTACGTTCAAATATTTTATAGCTTGGATTACGACATCCCTCTTCCAAGTTATAAAATATTGTGTTTGGTCCTAGCCTTAATATTTTTATTGGGTGCTATATTAAGGACTTTAAATCAACTAACTTGAATTTCTCCCATTGTAAATGTCTGGTTTAGACATCTATGATCATCCCAAATCCCTTGGAACAAGCTTTCCTAATGAAAATGATGTTCCATCACCTCCTCCAATTGTTCTCCCTAAACTACAAAGTTTAAGGTCACTCAAGCCCTATTGGCAAGCAAGGTCTATCTGTGCTCAGATCTTGGAGATGAAGTCACATATTGACAAGTCGGGAGATTTGGGTGTCAAAGTCTTCAGAAAGTTGGTTGTTCAAACACTTTCTAAGTCACATAGTGAGTCCCTTTGGGACTACTATGAAAAAGGCTATGACATGACCCTTAATGATCTTATCTATTTGCTTGGTGCTGCTGAATCAACATTGATTTGGAGGACTGGTAAAGCAAATTTGGTTAGAAGATCAACTTCCCAAACCTTCAATGGACATTGACAATGGTTACATTGGAAATCTAGAAAAGTTTGCTCTTCCCAATGGAAAGTGATTGGCCATAGTCAAGTCGGTTGACCAAATGGTAAAGAGAAATACCAAGTCTGAGATAGTTCCATGTAACAGAGGGTTCATATGGGTCTATTGCCAAAGGAAGGGGAATTGGTTGCAAAGATTCCCTAACTACCTGAAAGAACTGAGAGAAGGTCTAGTAAAAAATATTGACCTTTGCTTCAGGTAAGTCCACAATTTAACTCAATTAAGTTCCTGGTTGGAGATCCTTAATACATTTTGATGTATGGCGGGATCATGCAAAGGGACGAAAGCTTAAAAGAAGAGTATGTTGAATCTGATTGTGAAGATGGATTTCAATCGCATGGTTCAAAGATTGGATTCTTTAGCCACTACTTAAGAGTTATGATAGATTTCTAGGAAATATGTAATAGCATAGTTTTCATTTAAAGCTGCATTGTAAGGAAAAAGTTTTTCCGCATTTTATAAATTAATACAAAATTGATTTTATTTTAGTTTATATCTCCTTGCAATGAATTTTATTGAAAATTGATGTTTGTATGTTTCTAGTAATAATGGAAATATGAATTTGATTCTTTCATTTGTGGTAGTGTTTAAATTTACCAAATAAGAAAAGATTATCATCACCCAAGTTTTCAATTGGATCGAAACTTAAAATCATGCAAGTAGTATAGTATGATGAGTGAGAATTTTCATCTTTGGAAAATGAAGACCAATTCCTTGTTCACATGTATATGTGAGTCAAGTGAAGGACTAAAGGGATCAAGTACACATTCTTGTGCACTGGTTAAGTTCACCACAAAAGATCGATAAGACTATTCCTCATGATTTACTAAAGCTTAGTAAATATGGTTATACTTACAAGTTTAAGTATAATTCTGGAACATTGGAAAAGTTTCGATGTATGGCAGAACGAATGAGAAGAATCAAATTAGGCAGAAAGATAAATGTTTCTCAAATATGAAAAGATGGGAAAGTATTTTAGTGTCATGCTTTATGATCATCTTAATGATTGTGAGACGATATCACAATTCAACCTCTAAGGACATCTTAGTGCATTATTATGGCTAAGAAGAGGATTCATGAATTGTTGAAATAGTTAAATCAAGAAGATGAGTCATACTTCGTTCCAAAACAATCCTTAGAGTCATACTCCAAGATTGTAACTTGAGTGACACGTCTTAAAGAAGGTTTATTAACACTAGTCAAATGTAAGAGTAAAATGTGTTCTACTCTTGTACATTTGAAATTGGTAAGTTGTAATGTTTTGGATAAAATAAAGACCAACTAAGGCCAATTGTTTGATGTTTTTGTCTTGATAAGAATCAACACCATCTCTTGAATATTTGTGTGTCAAGGAATGGATCTTTGCAAGAGAGTCTTATACGTCAAGAGGACAGTGGGAGTCTGAAAGATCCTGAAATAGTTTCAAGAAATAATCAAGAATAAAACTAGTTGTTTATCACTAGCACACGAATTGAGGCTTATAGCCTATCGTGTTGACATATTCTTATTTCAGTGACTATTCCGATCAAAGTTGAGTATGCATTTGAGTTCTAAAAGTTATAAATTGTTTGCATAACAACCTGGAAGCAATGGTAGGCCTTGTGCTACCAAGTGGCAATAAGTTAAGATTGCACGAGTTCGGTCCATATGAGTTTGGATTTGTCACTAACCTTGTCTTGTGATTATGGTTTTGACAAATTCAAATGGATAGGAACACATACATCATAAAATCTAAGTGTCATAAGGTTTCTCTCCGATTCATGAAAATGATGGTGAGGAAACGCATTCACTAAGTAGATTTTAAGTAGATAGCATTTGTGATATCTGCATTCTCAAAGTCGTTAGTGGAGTGTGTGTGGTTAATCGACACACTAACATGGACTTGTGAGGAATGGAAAAGGTCTAAACAATTGAGACTATGATTACGACATCCTTTTTCATAGTTCTAAAATTGTTTAGACATGCATGTGTGCTATCTAAGGAAAGGTGTATGATTTTGATAGAGTATTATCAAAGCATCTCGTATCAGAAATCTGAACTTTGGTAAGAAAGTCAATAAAGTATTGATTTCTAGAAGTCCAGCTAATTTATGAGTACATGTCAAAGATAGTGGGAGCATAAGTGTTATGCTAATAATCATCATGTTAGTGGGAGCATGATAATTATGATAACTTTTTCTAGTTGGCAATGTTAAATATTGAAAACAAAAGTTCAATTAGGAAAAGTTGTTTTGCTATAATTAAGGGAGAGGAAAGTATACTTCATTTCAAGTCTAAAAGCTTAGATTGAGGTTTTAATCATCTTTAGTCAAGGATATATATATATATATATATATATATATGTGTGTGTGTGTGTGTGTGTGTATATGAATTTTATGTTGGCATGACTCAACATAAGGAAATTCTATATATGGGTACATTATTTGCGTTCTAAAATTCGATTATGATTACGACATCCCTTTTCATAATTTGAATTATGAGAACTTGGAAAATAGAAATAGAGATATTATAGCAAAAAGACTGGTCGTGTATCATGTCTTTATGTGAGACATCATGAATCGTATCCCATATACTTCAGATATAGGATCGATTTCATGAGCTATAATATTCATATGTTCTAAAATTTTCCAAATGCCTAGAGCATTAAGAGGTAAAAAGTACTAGAACTAGATATGACTAATTTGATTAAGCAATTGTCGAGGATAATCTAAGGTTTACCAAAGATTGGTTGCTCAGGGACAGTTGGAAGTATGGTATAAATTTTTTGGAGACGACCATATTGACATATTCTGAAAACAGGCAATTATTGTTCAGAAGTGATAGTCATATTGAGAATATTGAAATATTCCCATAGGTGGAAGTTATTCATTAAATCTGTGTAAGATTAGGAAACTTGTAAGGTCCTAAAACAGATCTTACCAGTGATCAAATAGCAAACACAATCAGTTAATCAATTAAGAACGAGTAGAATAGAGAATCAAACAAGCTTGCACACGCTTTTATATTAGAATCACGTCTGGTACAACTTGCGGTTACAGGAGATGAGAATACCGAGACATCAACAACAACAAAAGACCTAGCAAACCCCTATATATAGTACTGGGCCGACCCTGGGTTTACGGCCGTAAACAGCTTACGACCGTAAACTCCTTACAAACAACCGTAAACTCCAAATAAACTATAATAAGCTATCAAATGACCAAAAGAACCTATTACATAGAAAGCATAGACCAAACCACTAATTAGGCCCTTCAGTCTCCCCCCTGGTTTGGTGCTAGCTTTAGGTCAATCTTTGTTCACGATCATTATATCATTTAGTCCCATGGCTCCATTCCACATTCTCTTATTACTAATCTCAGCAACCATCGCAGTGTACTCTTTCGTAGCCGACTCAAAAATCTCCTCAGCAACTTGAATTTGAAAATTGCTCAAGTGATGAATGTCCCATTTTCTGAA